GTTCAGCAAATTTGTTTTGGGACTTTTTCAAAACAAATTAGGATACTGTCGTTAAATAATGTTACCGTTGCATGTCAACATCTTCCAGCTATAATACGAGCAGTCATTCTCGACCCTACGTCATTTTTTAACGTCAAATGATGTGACAACAGAAATCATCGTAGGGATGCGTTAGAAGGAATAAGTAACGGCGTTAACCGTACGACTAAACACATACTAAAAGAAATTGATTTTCAGTCTGAATTTCAACTCTACGTAAAACTTTTATCAGATGAATTGTGCTCGTAAATCGAGGGACGGGTTTTACTCTTTTGTACTCGTGTCCTGAAAATCTATACAGCAAGAGAGAGGTACGTACCTTCAGGGATGAATCTTGTTCCAGGAATAAAGACGATAGGAATAACTGGCGATGGTCCGAGACGCCGGAGCCATCCGCGGGAAGTGTAAATGGTGACTCGAAACAGAACAGAGATCAAAACTCTGAGAAGATTCAGTCTCAACGGAGAAGAAAAGTTAAGGACAAGGAGACTCGCAGGAGGAGGAGGAGCTGCAGAACGTCCGACTCTCACAGGAAGGAAAGGAGGCGGAAATCATCTCCTTCCCATTCCGTATCCAAGTAATGGTAAGTAGACTAAAACATTTTTTTGCTGTAGGAAGGAATGTAGTTAGAAATTAGCAATTTTCTTGTTGTGTTGTGTGATTTTAAGCTTTTGTGGCGACGTAACTCAGTAAAGTCTTCAAGGGCGATCGGCCGCGTCGGATGGTTGAATGAAGAAACCGACGTCTCAGGGACCGTCCGTCTGTCCCCATCGTCAGGGTTCCGATTTAACTGGACGTTGCGGTCGTCTCCCGTATACCCCTGCCCGGCCAGTGCTCGCGGCCGGTTGGCGGAGTCAAGAGCTCGTGCTGAGTGACCCCGCTTTCTTTGACCGGATTTGTTACCGGTTACCAGGTCCGACTCAGAGCGTAGCCTCCATCCCTGTTAAAGTTTTTGGGACGCAGGTTCGTCTCTGTTGCTTCTTTTATCAGGCGGCCCGTAAATCCTTCTGTTTTTCCCAGAATTGTGATGTCGTGTCCCGCTTTGATGCAGTGTTCTGCGACAGCGGACTTATCTGGTTGACGAGGACGTGTGCGTCTCTTGTGTTCTTTACTTCTGCTCTCGGTGGTTCTGCCAGGTTGTCCAACATAGAATTCGCCGCATTCGCAGGGAATACGGCGTATGCCGGCGACCGTCAGACCTAAACTTGTCTTCGGCAGCACCGAGCATATGGATATTTCTCCTGGCTGGGATGTGAATGGTCCTGATGTGTTTAGCCTTGTCGCAGAAGCAACAGGCTTTTAGCTGGAGGTCCAGTGACTGACCTCTCCTCTCGCCTGAAGACGGAAACAGAGCCTGTTTCCGAAACGTTCAAAGACCACTGTCTGTTTATATGTACATCATTGATGTCTCTTCCTGTGTGGTGATTGGCTAGCGGTGAATAGTGGATGAACCCATTTGCTTGGAGTCACCGCACCTGGGACTTCAGGTCCAAGTGACTAATCGTACTTGAGCGTGGCTTAGGGCTGATGGGACTACCACCTTCACAGTGCACACTTTACAAAATTTGGATCAAGCCCTCCGGGCAATCCAAATGGAATATCTCCTATGCGGAAATTTATTTTTTATTTAGTGTTCTGTCTGACGACAGGTCCATATGAACAGGATCCTTCCATCCTTTTCTCGGACTGGGACCTGTTCATATACGTTCTTGGCAGATGATCCAGAAGTGGTTTGCCATTGCCTTCTTCTGTGTGTGAATGGAGTAATTGTTGGGATGCCACGGAGGAAAACTCCGTGTTGCCTAGACCACTGCCTTGCCCAACACAAGTTATAAATTCGGGCACCGCCGGGAATCGAACCCGAGACCCCAGGTTAACACTCGGGATGTGGCCTGGATTTAATAAGGATTTGAATATGTCGACAGATTTTAGCAAAACTGGTCAGCGTCAGATCTGATGAAAATTCCTTCGTTTGTCGAGTTTTTTCAGGCAATTGGACAGTCGCAACTCCTTGGAGCGAGTATGAGGTAGGACCCTTTTTTAAGTAATGTAGGAGGTAATGACGTGTACATCTTGGGGTCTCGGACGGCTGAAAGAAATGCGACCCAGTTTCCTGCTGCATGTTATTCGTCAACACGTGACTCCCTTCTCCTTGGCATCCTTTGTCAGGACACGAAGTGAACCGACATCACGGCTGACGAGCAACCTGCCCTTGGACCACGTCGCGCTCGGAATCGGTAGCAAATGGGGCCAGTTCCCCCCCCTGGTCTATTCTCCGAATCCATTGACAAGGGTTGATGGTGAAACAGAGATAGGGCTGATACATCATCGTTTCAGTCGACCGATATGGACTAGAATCAAACCCGCCCAACAAAGTTTAGTGTAGACTCGAGATACCAAGTTTAATCGAAATCCGTTCGATGGTTTTGAAGATATGTTTGTGGACGAGTTGACTGGCGTATGTGACCTCACCATCCCGCGCTTACTTTATGAAATTTTTTGTAAGGAACGCATGTGGGCCCAACTGTGTAGGAACCTGAAGACGGAGATAGAGTCCCATCTCCGAAACGTCGTTTTACGTTTTATATTTACTAGACGATGGATAATATCCAAGGAAATTTTTATTCAAATGACTCTTCAGAACCTGAAGACGGAGATAGAGTCCCATCTCCGAAACGTCGTTTTACGTTTTATATTTACTAGACGATGGATAATATCCAAGTAAATTTTTATTCAATTGACTTTTCACCATCTTCAAGAGGTTTTAGATTTGATATGCATAAAAATTAACTCTGCTCTTTGGTAGATTCAGAGTTTTTGAGTTGCGTCGGAAAGTTTTGTCTTTTCGGGGTTTTTTTTACGGTCATGAATAATAGCAACGACGTTCAGGACACGCCATATAAATTCTTAGTACGGTATTTCTCATGAATTTGTATACAAATTCTGTATGGGACATTTTTTGTTTAAAACGTACGAATGTTTGATCGTGGTGAGAATCGTGGGTGGGCAAGATTGTTCTATGTTTAGTAGCGAAAGTTTGCTTGCCGTTGTGTAAAACCGGTCGTGGTAGAACGAGACGCGGGATGGAGTGGGCTACCGTTTTGCCATTGCGTGATGTAATAATCGTGTGATTGAGGAGTCCTTTCACTGATTGTACGAACTTTTTGTAAAAACAAAAAGAAAATGCATATTGAGAAGCGGTGTGTTTGATCGGTCCACCAAAATTGGAAGTGATTTCTCAAGAGTTTTTTTTCTACAGGTGTGTTAACTATTTCGTAAATATCCAGAGACGTAGAAAATGCATTTTATTTTATTTATTTATTATTATTTAGTGTTCTGTCTGACGACAGGTCCATATGAACAGGATCCTTCCATCCTTTTCTCGGACTGGGACCTGTTCATATACGTTCTTGGCAGATGATCCAGAAGTGGTTTGCCATTGCCTTCTTCTGTGTGAGTGTGAATGGAGTAATTGTTGGGATGCCACGGAGGAAAACTCCGTGTTGCCTAGACCACGGCCTTGCCCAACACAAGTTATAAATTCGGGCACCGCCGGGAATCGAACCCGAGACCCCAGGATTACAAGGCCAGCGTTCTAACCGCTAGACCACCGTGGCGGCTTGAAAATGCATATCCTTAAGTAATGTAAGCTTGAGTAAAGTAAGCGAAAATTGTGCACGATATTTTGAGGTGGGAGAGTCTTCAGCACTACGTAATGTAGGTTCTGGAATTACGTGGCCTGTTGTAGTAGATTTGGGGAAAATTTACAAATTCTGTTTCTGTCTTTTTAATAATATCAATGGTGGCTATGTGAAGAAAGATATTTTCGGAGCGATAAAAAATGTGCCATTGGAGATCGACTTTTTTTAGATAGGTAGTAATGAAGCACGTGACTTTCGAGGCCGCACACGTCAAACGCGGAGTGTAGGTACCGCGCTGCATGCGGAGGGAATGCGTAGTGATTTCAAGTGGCGTGGCGACTGCGCATTTCGGCCATGAGATAATTGCCAGACTGTAGACTATACAGGGTGTTCGAGAAAGAGTGCGCAGATTTTAAACATTTTTATCGAGAAAATTGACAGAGTTAGGAGAGTACAGTTTTCACCATATGAAACAGCAACTCACCTTTCTCCATTCCACTGCAATTCTACCTGAGCTTCTGACCATCTGGTATTCAGACGCCCAGAAAGCGTTGCCACACATTTGAGGCGTTATTCCTTCCACAGAATGGACGACGCGGTTTTTAAAATCTTGCAAACAAGTGACTCGTGTGCTGCACGCCTGGTCCTTTGTGTGCCCCCAAAGGAAGATATCCATAGGTGTTAAATCCGGCGATCTTGGAGGCCATGCAACGAGACCATCTCTTCCAATCCATCCAGCAGGAAACGTATGGGGAAAAACTTTATGATTTGCGGTGTCATGTGATGAAAAATGTACTCTCCTTGCTCTGTTTATATTCTCAATAAATATGTTTAAAATTATTCCCTTTTTATCGGACACCCTGTATATTAAGTGATATGAGAGATAAAACGTGCGGGACACCCTTCCTGCCTATAATGCGAACAAAATGGAACACAAATCAGACAAACCGACATATAATTCGTCAAGTTTATTTGCGAGTGCCTTTACGATAAAACGGCGAACAGCTGAACATCGGAATGGCATTATCGACACCGGTCCTGCTTGAAGGCCTTGCCGACGATACAAAATGATTTCCTGCTCCACCAGAAGTGTCGTAACGTACATCACGTTCCGTATTGACGCAATACAATGCACTGCTTTCGTTTGTGAAGAGAAGGGCGTTAAAAGGCTTTAAGATCATCGGTTTGTCATTGAACGGGTCTCCTGTGGCTACGGGACCCGCTTTACGACATCTTCTAATCCGTCTTTTACGTGCCCCCAACCTGTGATTTGACTTACGTCACGTTTCAAGGTCATTTGTTCAGTGAAGAAACTTTACTATTAATTTTTGTTACGATAATTTATTTTATTCCAAGTTTATTTATAAACTCTTTTAGTAGTTAAGATTATATGCCGATGAGTGATAGGATGAATAGTGAATAATTAAGTGGGAAGGAAGCGGTCGTGGTCTAATTTAAGGTAAATGTTCCCCCGAAGCACAAAGTAAAATTACGAAAACGTGTCAGGGGCCGAGATTTGAAGTCGGAGCCTCGCAGGTACGAAGCAGTCGTGGTGCTAAGTCACTCGATCTAGACGCTCGGTGTATTTAGAAAGCTTATTGACGTGAGCGAGACCGCGGACATCCGCGTATCGTTTTAACCTGGAATACGCAATGTGTGACAATGTTGACGATAAGACAAAAGGGCGTCGGATCTGAAAGTCTGTTGCTTTCCGTTCTCGTTCCACTTGGCAAAGACATTTTTTGAAGAACTGCGGCAGATCGTGTAATGACTGACTACGGACTGGACGACCGGGGTTCGATCCTCGACAGGTGCAGAGGATTTTTTTTTTCCCTGTAGCCTCTGCGTTCAGAACGGCTCTGGGGCCCACCAAGCCT